TTTCAAGACCACAAGGAAACACCAACCCACCTTCAGGGGATCATGAGTGCTGATCCCAAGCCTGGGTTGTGTCAGGAAGTATAAAACCAGTGCCAGATCACATGTGGAGACTACGTTGGGAAATCAGAAGCTGAACCAGAACAGAGTTTGCTGTCAGTACAACTTTAATTCTAATTTTTACCCCTCTAGATTTTGTGTTTTACCATCTTAAGAGATTTTGCCTTTGTGTCCTCTCCACTGTTATTTAAACAGCTTTGTACCTTCTTACTACTTGATTCTCTAGCGCCCTCTAGTGGCACCAGGCTGCAGGTAAAGACCCAGAACAGCAGTGCAGCTTTCCTACGTTGTACGCGGACCATGGCCCTGTGGAGAAGCATGGACTTCATCACTCAGTAAAAACAAAGGTAGAAAAAAAGAAAGTTCAATTAAATATTATATATAATTTTTAGGAAGGTTTACAATAAGTCAGCTTAATTCCATCACTGCCACTGATTTGTCAGCTGTGCTTTCTGACATATTGGGGCCTTTTCTCACAGATTAACGATGCAGCACTAAAATATTTAACTGACTCTTCTCAGCAAGAAGCAAAGTTATGCTGCGAGTCTGCTCTGCAACCTAAGGCCTGAAGGTTTTTAATATTAAAGCTCGACTGGGAAGACGGGAGTGTTTGTTTTATGACTGTGTGAGCTGACGTATATAACAGTAAAGAGGTTTGTCACTGACATGCCACACTGATAATATTTTATCCATATATTTCCCTTCTCTTTGTGGTCTTATTCTTTTAAAACTGAATATAACTACTTCTCAGAACTTCAATATATTTCAGGCCTGGTTCCCGACAGTACGCCCTTCATTTATTAACATTTATGAGCTGGGTTCAGATAAATGATGGAAGGTCTTGTTTGTTGCTGGTAATGCTACTTTGCTCCATGCTGTCTGTATGGATTTATGGGTCAGCGTGTGCTCCCACACAACAGTGCGTGAGCTAATTTTCAGCAGTACCCTCATGGATTCAGTGCAGTGATCAAGTACAGCCCCACTCCCTGACATTGCAACAGAGCTGTGATTATTATCCTATGACTACACAGTGTATGGCATTCCCAAAAAGGTTAATGTGGCATGAACATCTTCGTGGAGTGAACCAGTGAATATTTCACACTTAGCTTGTCAAGTACAGCAAAGGAAAGAAAGTATTACATTCACACCAATGTTTGGTAGTGGGTGTATACTCTCCAAGGTAACAATCAGAAGGAGGGCAAGCTAGCTAAAGGTCCCCGAGCTGCTGCATGTGTATGAGCAATGGAAGATTCATGTGTGCAAAGTAAGAAATCTCACTGAAGAACCTAAGAAAAATAAGAATGGTAAATGGCCTGTACTTCTATAGCACTTTACTAGTCCCTAAGGACCCCAAAGCGCTTTACACATCCAGTCATCCACCCATTCATTCACACACTGGTGATGGCAGCTACATTGTAG